CTGCACTCCAGTCTGGACGACAGAGTGAGACTCCAACTCAAAAAAAAAAAAAGAAAAAAAGAAAGCTTTCTTGGGCAGCTTCTCCGTCACCATGGAAGTGTCAAGTTCTCTATAGCAGAACTTGGGCCTCAAAAGCTCTCCTATGCTGTCCCTCACCCACCAATTTCTAACACAGCAAGTTTTATTTGTGATAGCCCACTCAAGCAGTTTTCAGAATTGTTCACCCATTCCCAATCAGCTAGCACTTTGCAAAGAAAGCATATGTTTGCGGGAGAGGTGGACTCGATGTCAGTCTGGTCTCACTCTCCAGCGTGCAGGTCAGAGGCTCACATGACCACAGGTATCGCCCTGCCCATGTCGCTGGGGCTGAGGTGTACCCCAATGAGCAGGCAAATGTTCTGGAAATTCAGCTCCAGCTTCCCTTCGGCTCTCAGAACACTTGAGTGGCAGTGAATTCTTCCAGTCCAGCTCCTAAAAGCCTTTACCTTTACCGAATGCTTAAGGGAAAACAGGGGCACAGGTGGGGCAGGGCTTTGCTTAAGGTCACAGCGAGCTGGGGCCTGGTCAGGCCTGTAACTCGGGATGAGACCCGAGGAGTGGGGGACAGGGTGGGAAATACTGCTGTCCCTGGAGGCGACCATATCAGAACATGGAGATGCCGCCTGGAACTCAGACAACCCCCAGCTCAGAAATCTGTTCTGAGAGGCTTCCCACACAATTCGACAGATCGCAGCCGGAGACCACTTCTTGCAACCTCGCACGGAAAACTAAGAAAAGGAAGACTCTCGTTCCAAACCATAAGGTCAGCTGGTGACAGAGCCAGGACCAAATGCGGGTCCGGGTGGCCTGTCCTCTTGCCTCCCACCTGGGTCCTCCAGAGGCAAACGCGGACAGGGTCTGGGGACGTCCTCAGCCTAAGGGTCCCCTCGGGGTTACGACGGCACGGGAGTCGGACAGCCGGAGTTGGGCTGCTCCATGGGCACGCGACTCGGCCCCCAGCGGCGGGTCCGGGCCGCCCGCCCCACATCGCGACAAAGGCCTCCCAGCCGCCGCGTGTGTCACGACAGGCAGGGCTGCTCGGGTCACCTGCATCATCTCGAAGATGTGGTTCTCTTCCCCGTACTGGGACATTTCCGGGGGGATGCGGTGCGGGGCAGTGCTCGCGTCCATGTTGCTGCAGCGGCGCGGCA